TATATTTATATACATATTTACAGAAACGCAATAGTGCAATACATACCCACATGTACAGCCACTTGAGTGTACAAATGATACACGTTCTTTTTTTTTTTTTTATGGTTTTCCTGTTACTATTAAATTTGCCTTGAACAAGACACCTTTTAAATACACAAATTGGTGATTATATTCTCTTGTTTTATAAAATATGGACTTTTATAATAGAATAAAATAATAAATAAATAAAAAATTATTATTCTCTTTTACAGTTTCTCTTTCTGGGGAAGTCTTACCGTGGTACATAATAGAATTTCTTTTTATATTACTTTAGGTCACATGTCAGAGCAATTTATTTCACCACAGACACTTAAGTTGCTAGTGGACTCAAAGGCGGAGTCAAGACAAAAAGGAATGCGAGAAGTGTTAATGAAGGCAATTGTTGTTTTTCGGGAATTTCCACCAGATGAGGCGTACGCTATTATTACACGTGAGATGCACGAAGCAGAGAGTATTCTTCTTCGAACGACTATTGCGGCATATCGTAGAGGAGGTCTTGCAGTTGTCAGGGCCTTTGTGCATTCTTTACCGGCAAAGACTCACCCAGATGGTGTGATTAAATATTTTACCACTATCGTTTTTGATTGTGTTGCTGACGTAGATGCAACTGTGCGGCTAGCAGCTTTTGAAGCGGCTCACGTTCTCGTACGGCAATTTAAGTATCAACTCTTAGATATTTGTTTTGTTCAAGTATTTAGTGGCATTGCACGTGGTATAAATGATAATGATAAAAAGGTTGCCATACTCGCTGGAGAAGTTTCCTCATTAATTCGTGAAGTTGTAACGAATAATGATTCTTTTAAAATAAATATGGATCTTTTTGTAACCTTTATTACTGAAACTTTGGAACCGTATAGTCAAGCAACTAAAGATGAATTATTTTCGGATTCACCCGTTTTGCAATGGTGTTTGGAATGGATTAACTATATGTTAGATCTTCCTGGAGATGAACTTATTCTTCTTCTTTGGCGATTTCTTAAACCACTTTTGATTTTGTCAGGAACACGTGGTGGTCCACTATTAATACAAGTTCTTAAAAAATGTCTTCGTGATATGAAAGATGCCTTTCATCGAGATGTTAAAATGGAATTACCTCTACTTCTTTCTATAACGACAGAATGTGTAGAAGAAAGTGAATTCACGACAACAAAGCGGATCTCACTACAATGGATTTTAGAGTTATTTCTTATTGGATCCAATGAATTACTTCATCTCATTCATACCGCACTTAATGCATGTATGTTACAATTAGGTTCAAAAGATCTTGAGACACGTCTGGCAGCTCAAAACGTTAATAATAGACTCATGCAACTTGTTGCGATAACACCTAAAGATGATAAGGTAGTTTCATACGATGCGGTGTTAAGAGTTGTTAGAGATCGTCTAAGTGGACGTGGTACTGAAGAAACTCGTGTGGCTTCTATGGAATGGATTACACTTGTCTTTCAGGCAAATCCTAAAGTAGTGGAGAATGAATTTACGGTTACGTTTGATATGGTTTTAATTTTGCTGTGTGATCAATCTGCTCATGTGTTGCATAAATGCATTGAAACTCTTTGCTTAATATCAGGGGAAAAACATTTTGACTATTTTATAGTACAACTTATTGAACTCATTCATGCAAAAGCTGATATTTTACTTCCAAAAGTACCCACTATTATTAAACAACTTCAATTACGATATCAAGAAGAAAATTTAGAACAGTCGGAGAAGCTCTGTCTTAAACTTGCTGGAGTACTTTCACAGCATGAAGACAAACGTTTTTTGGAAAAAATGGTTATTACCCTGAGTACATTAGTTTTGACCTCCAGAGAATTTTTACCTCTTCGGGAAATATTACATTGTGGAATCCATGATAAACGAGCTAAACATATATTTTTGGGAATGTACGAGTGTTGGCGGTATAATCCAGTAGCAGCTCTTTCACTCTGCCTTTTAGCACGGGTGTATGAACATGCTTTTCAGTTAATTAAACTTATAGGAGCTGCCGAGTTATCTGCGGCGACACTGCTACAGATAGAGAGACTTGTGCGTCTTTTAGAAACCCCAGTGTTTTCGTATATTCGTATGGAAATAATGGAGCCATCTAAAAGTTTACCGTTAGTTCAGACGCTCTTTGCTTTTCAACTCATCTTACCACAGACCTCTCCGCAGTATCAGTCGCTTTATCGTCGACTGAAGACAGTCCCAAGCCTTGCGATCCTTGAGCGTGAGGCACGAATACATGATGTAGAGAATGATGATAACCAGATGATGTGGAATGAGTTGCTTGAACTTAGTAAAGAAGCTCAGCAGTGCATCTCGGAGTTTGAGCGAAAATTGGTTTTGCAGCGTTTGGGAGATAACGGATTTTCATAGGCGTTAAGGAAATTTGGAGCTCATTTATTTTTATTTTTTATTTTATTTATTCTGTGGGATGTTAAGGTGAAAAGTGTGAATATATATATATATATATGAGGGAGAGAAAGAAAGAGTTTGCATAGTTGTGTTTTTTTTTTTTTTTCACTACGATAGATTGTTATTCACATAACGCGTTAGCCATATATTTACCGAGCTGTCCTTATTTTTGTTTTTTTTTTCATATTAACATGGATTTATTTTTCAACCACCATTTTTTTATTTATTTATTCACAGCTAGTGAGTAAACAAAAAAGAAAGGAAAAGAAAAAAAAGAAAAATGTCCGCCGCTACGGTAACAAAGCAAGTTATTCCAAAAGCCTTCCCAAAGTTTATGCACCGCTATGTGGGCAACGGGAGATTGTTTGAGTGTCTGAAGCCGTACGAGAAGTACTCCGTGGTCGCCTATTTGAATTCCGTCTACAACAGTGCCCCACTCTTCAAGTGGTCTCTCAGTATTGTTCCCCTCTACGGCATTTTTATTGGCAACCCGCCGGTGGAAAAGTTGGATTTTAACTCCAGCGTTGCCCTTTGCGCCACCGGTATTGTTTGGTTTGTGTACGCACTTCTTATTCAACCGCAGAACTCCGGAAGTCGCTCACTGGCACTTGTGAACATTTGCTTGGCTTCTGTAAACGGCTATAATGCCTACCGCAGCTGGTCCTACAATCAACAAAAGAAACTGAAGCAATAATTAAAAAAAAAGAAAAAAGAAAAAAAAAAAAGGGAGTTGTGTGTAAGGAACTCTGACTGACGCGTAAATGCTAGGGAATAGAATTCATCCAGTGTGGAAGAGTATTTTTAAAAAAAAGGGGGGATACATTGTGAGGAGTCTCATCTTTTTTCTTCTTTTAAAAATAAAAAATAAAAATAAAAAAAAATTTCAAAATGAATTCGTTTTTCATTTCTTTACCTGTTTCTTTATTCTCTATACAGTCCACGTACGAGAGTGGGATCTGAACGTAGAGCAAGAATTCAAGATCACAAGGAGGTCTTGACCATATAGGACCTCACCTAATATCATTCAATGTGTTTTTTTTTTTATTTTCTTTTTTTTTGTGTTTTTATCTGTGTTTATATATATATGTGTGTGTGTGTGCACTTGAGCGATAAGTAAGTTGAATAAAATGTTTATCTATATCTATCACCTTTCGATACTATCATTCTGTATATAAATATATATACATATATGTTTGTGTTTTTAACGTTCTCTTTTCCATTTATTATTATTATTATTATTATTATTATTATTATTATTATTAATTATCATACATAATATAGGGGATGAAAAGGTGTCTATGTTACTGGGGCTCTTTTCAGGGTGTACAGTTTGGGCGCCGTCCAGGTGCAGGCGGAATTAATCTCAACAAGGGATTGTTGAGTGATAAGGAACGTGGTGATCCCTTTACAGATCCAAAGGTGTATCGTAACAAGAAAAATGTAACCGCTCTCATTAAGGTAGGAAGAAAGGAGAAAATACTCCTTCATGAAGAAGAGCAAAAAAAAAAATTAGGCGCTTTGGGTATAGACTCCCATACAGAACGAAAACTACACAGTGGGACTACAGAGACTTTAAATAATGAATCCATTACTGCTGTACGTGAAATGGATGAACGTGCGATGGAATCTTCTCATACTAAAGATCAATATACCACAGCACTTCGTCAATTGATGGAGAGAGAAGTAGAACGTCGAGATCATATGATGGATAAATTTGGTCAACCACCAACTTCCAAAGAGTTTCACAAACTCTTTACAGAATTGCGGCATGCAGATGATGAGATGGAATCTATTGAACGATATCAGAATCGTCTTGTGGAAGAGTGTGGGGTTTACCCTTCTACTCGTTTAGATGCTTACATGTTAGATGATGATACCTACTTCCCTGATTGGGTAAATGCACTACCGTACAGCATCCGTGATCGTGTAAAGTATGGCTCGTTGGGACTCACGGAAGAGGATGAGGCTTTACGCGTCACACTTGGTCGGATGCCGCTGGATAAAAGACGAAGAGAATGGAATAGATTTAAAATGGCAAAAGAGCAAAAGGCAGCAAAAGAAGAAACTCTAACATTAGCTGAACTACGAGATGCTAGACAAGGCAAACGTCGATTTCATTGGTTACAACGGAAACGTCAAAAACGGGCTTCCATGTTAAAAAGACTTGCGCTTAGGAAACCAGAAATGTTTGAGTTGTGGCCCTCTACTGTAGTGGATTACAGTCAACGCATTGCTTTCATAGCTCAACATGTGGAAAATGGTTTAAATACAAAAGGTCAATGGCCTTTAGATCCTGAAGAATTATCACGGGCTCGTATAAAACGCAGTCAAGAAGAAGCTGAAAAGACCTTTTTATTAAATACAGATGAAAAGAAAGTACTTAATAAAACAGGTGGAAAGAGCAGAGAAAATGGTATTATGCAAATGTTGAATGCTCTAGATGAGAGACAAAAACCTTTTAAACGTCTCTCACGTAAAGTCTACGCTAATCGTGTAAATGCTGTTGTTCACGGCGATCAAGATGAATACGGAAGAAAATATCGCAAGATGGAAAATCGTGCTAAACGTCGCATGCGTCCATACGATTCCTTAAGTGAGATGGCACTCGAAAAGGAAGTACGAAAGGAACCTCGTGTGTACACTAAGGGATTAAACCACTCAGACGATGAACACTGGCCAAAACATACAAAGTCTTGGTCAGACGGTATGCCATCCACAAGATATGCTTCATAGTTGGTGTATTCTTGTTTTGTAAAAAAAAAAAAAAAAAAAAAAGAAAAAAAAAAGCCCCTTTTTTGGTTTTTCAAGTATATAATTATTACTGTATTTTTATTTTTATTTTTATTCGTTTACCACACTCAAGTTAATTTTATCAGCATTATTTCCTCCCTTTTCCCTTTCTTTTTTTTTCTTTATTTATTTTATTTTGACCTTTAATCTTATGTATATTAGTGTATTCATGGCTTCTTCAACCGTTTTCCTTGCTGATGGATCAGAAGGTGTCATTTGTCCAAGTGAGGATTATTGTGATCTTATTTGCATGAATGAAAATGTTTGGGCACTTCGTTCCTGTTGCAGATATATAGATGTCTTAGATCCTCAAGGTGGGGATTTGTTAGATACTTTAAGTTTACCGGAGAAATGTGTGCAAATATGTTGTGCAGCCAATCGAGTATGGCTCTTATCTACCAATGGACATCTGATTAATTATGATTTTAGTGGTATACTTCTTGGTGTACTTGATAGTGAGTATGGGAAAATAAAGAGATTACATTCTTTTGATAATTGTCCTTCTTTCTTTGCAACTAGCCAAGAAGGTGCATTTCAAATATGGAATATGGATAGAATGATTGTGGATCGTGTATTTCCATGTGAAGGTGGTGGTATAATCGTTGCTGTATTTCCTGTTCATCCCTATTCATTACTGCTTTCTGTTCAAGAGGATCAAATAATATTATGGGATTTAAATAATTCTCATCCACTTTGTGTAAAACCGGTAGAAAAGGTAAACACAGCCGTTTTTGTACGATCACTTTACGCAACTTCTTCTCCTGATTGTTGTTGGGCGGGAGGAAATAAATGGATATTTATTTTTCGACTTGTGAATAGTCCAAATGGTGAAATTACACTTGAAAAGGAACGGGCTATACCATGTGCGAGTGTACGTCAACTGGTGTCTATCTCTTTATCACATATTATATCATTAGATGCGGAATCTTTAATAACTGTGTGGGATTCACGCAAGTATACACCCGTACGATTATTTAAAGTAGATACAGCAATGGAAATTGTACGTGGTTCACCATCTCCTCATTTATTTCTTGTTCATACTTCTCAAGTGATGACCTTCTGGACTTTGGCTTCGCAGAGACGATTTACATGGGAACATCGGGTATATGATGACAAGACTCTGGGATTAGATTCATCACACATTTCTACTTGTTTTGTTAAGCAAGATGAGAGTATGTATCTTTCTAAAAAGTATTCGTGTTTATTAGAAATGACAGATGCTTATCGTAAAAAAATTGTGGAGATTATATCAAATACGGCTCTTGATGAGGTAATGAAAACAACCACTATTTTAACACTAGACAAATGTCTTGGGGATCAAATGAAGGTGTTAATGAGTGATGATAATAATAACAACAAGACGAGTTATTTATCAATAAAAAAAAAGAGTTCAAGAGATTTAGTGAAATATTGGCGTGAAAAATATTTAGTTGAGAAGGAACGTAATGAAATCTTACTAAACCGTCTTCAGGGAATTACGGAGAATATACAAAAGAAACCACATGAGTCCAATCTTGAAAGCCATTTGGCGGACCTTTTGGTATTAAATTGCGCTCATCAGAGAACTATATCTGAACTTCGTGGATATATTCTTCAACTGGAAGCGAAAATACATGAAATAGATCTCGATGGTATTAATAATGTATATCCCACACAAGTTATGGAAAATAAGAATAAAGTTTATATAGATCGCATATCTAACCTTCAAAGAGAATTACAAATGGCATTAGAAAATAGTTCAAGTGTTGAGGAATCTCAAGAAGAGGTTCAAAAAATGGCGGATATACTTTCTAGAACAAAAGAAGCGCTTAATTTGGAGCGAAAAAAAGTTATCGCACTCACACAACAGATAATGGCAATAGGAAGAGAAAAGGATAAACTATGTAATAACATGGAGTATCTTGAAGAGGAACTTCAAACTTCCATACGTCAAGGAGAAGAACGTGAAGAGTTTCTAAAAAGAGGCCAATTTGAAATGGAGGAGAAGTTGAGACGAATATCTTTAATGCTTACTGAGAAAGATGAAGAAATTCGTCTAATGACAAAACAAATGGAAGAGATGAAGGAATATAGACACTTCGCTTCTGACCTTACTCTCCGAGAAACAGAGATTGCAGGTCTTAAAAGACAATTGGAGTATATGAAAGATAATTTATTAATATATCAGAAAGAGAAAATATCAGCTGGAAGTGCATATGACTCTATCATGAATATGTTAAACTCTTTGAAGGATAATTCTCCGGCTGCAATTTTAGGAAATGCACTTGGAAATATTGATCATAGATTGTCGCATTTAAAAACCTGTGAAAAATTGTTAATGGAAAAGGATGACCATCTTGCTATTAAAGATGATGAAATTCGTCTTCTCAGTCGCCGTGTAAAAGAGTTAGAAGGAGATATTTCGCGTGTATCCTCTTTATTCTCTCGTGTACCTCATAGTGTGAGAGATATAGAAGCACTCTTGCTAGAAGTTAATGAATATCGTCTCCGGTATGGGAAGAGTGAAGAAATTGATGAGATGGTGGCTATTCAACAACTGGAGTTGGCAGCTGGTCGTTCTGTAGATTAATATTAAAAAGGATTTAGTATATATATTTCATTATTAACGGAATAACAAGAAGATCTTGTGAAGTGGGTAATGTCTTGTATTAATGGGTTTCTATTTTTAGTGTAGTTTATTATTATTATTATTATTTTTATTTTTTTCTTCCTTATTATTTATCAATATTTTTTTTCATTTTAATTTTTTCTCTTATCATTTTCTTTTATATTATTTCTCTATAGATTTTCTGTAATCTATTTGCCCTCTTGGTTTTCCTTCTTCCTCTTAGATACTGAAACAAAAAAAAACAAAAAAAAAACAAAGAGATCTAAACAGTAATAATAATTATAATAATAACGACCACTCCTGATGGTGTTCAGTAAGGGTTCTTGGGGCCGGAAATTACTCTGCGCGACTGGAGCTGTTGGCGCTTTGGGATTTGGTGGGGCTTACTTTACATATCAACGACGACTGAAGGAGAACCGCAGCTGCACCGCGGAGGAGTTCAACGCGAGGCAAAATCAGGAAGAACTTCAATGGGCACTTTCTCACTTAAAAAATCCAAAGGAGCATCCACAGGTTCTTTTATATAGATATTCCACATGCCCTTTCTGTGGAACTACAAAGGCTTTTCTGGATTATAATAAGGTACCCTATGAGTGTGTGGAGGTTGAGCCTATGTTTAAAAAGGAAATTTCTGTGAGCGCCTACAAGAAAGTACCCCAACTACAATTTAACGTTCATGGACACAATGGTCCATATCTTGTGGATTCTGAGATAATTGTCAGCACTCTTGCAAAGTATTTGGGAATGGAAAAACAGTTAAACGATCCTGAGATTGCACAGTGGCGTGAATGGGCTCGAGGACCGATGGTTCGACTTTTGACTCTTGAATTCAATTCATCTCTTTATAAGGCTTGGTGTGGATACTCATATATAGATAATGTTGACACTATTCCATATAGTAATAAAATGTTTTTGAAAGTGGTGGGAGCCCCTGTAATGTACCTTGTGGCCCAATATGTTACCAAACCTCGTCTTATTAAAAGCGGTCATCTTCTTCCTGGTGATGATTCAAGAAAGAGGTTTCATGATGAACTAAATACATATTTTGAAAAAGCTCTATTAAATGGTAAAAAGGAATTTCATGGAGGGTCTAAACCAGATCTTGCCGATTTGGACACATATGGTGTGCTTCAATCGGTAAGAGGCCATCGCATGTATGATGACGTTATTCATTCAACTTTAATAAAATCATGGTTAGAGAGAATGGATGAGCAGGTTGGTGCCAAACATTATGAGGCTTCTTAAACTGCAAGGAAAAAAAAATCTATTTCTGGGTGTGTTTTCTACTCTAACGTGAATTTGGTGTAGGAATATGGTTATATATATATATATATATATATATATATATATATATGTTTTTTTTTTCTTTTTTTAAATAACCATGAACATTATTATAATCCTTCTCTGTGTGTTTGTGTGCTTTTTTGTTTATGAGGAGATACTATTCAACTGAGTCCACTTTTTTGTAGTTCTTTCTTTCTTTTTTTTTTCTTCCTGGGAAATATATATATATATATATATTGTTTTTTATTTATTTATTTATTTATTTATTATATTTATTATTTTTTTCTTTTTTCTTTTCTTTTGAAGCATCATCTGTGAAGGAAGTGCTTTCCTCATGCAGTTTGCCAAAAGTCCGCGAAAGCGTTGTGCTGTTTGTGTAGTAAATGGTCTTCAAATGTTATTTTTAGTGGTTCCCAGAACAGTTGTTCCTCCTGTTTCTGTTGAACCTGAACCGTTGATGTTTTTTGATGAACTTTTTCCCCCAACAAAAAAAGAGACAACTAAAGAGAAAAAAGCGGTGATTACTAGTCAATGGTCTGCGGGTTCAGTTGTGATACCGTTGGTGGTGAATAGTAATGGTGAGATTGAGCGACACCGCGACTTTAGGACGTCAGAGTTCTCAACTTTAAAAGAAGCTTACGATGCCCTTGGCCCCTTTGAGTATGTTGTGGAGTACCCTGCGTTATTTGGTTGTTTACTGTTAGACAAGGTTTACATTCTCGTTGCCACTAAAGTGGAGGAAGCCGCTTCTCTGCCATTTGGTGGTTCTATTCTTCGAGTTTTGGAAACAGAGTGGGTGCCTTTTAATATTCCAGGGGCCGCACCGTTGCGAGTGACACCAACCGATAGGACGAGATTGAAAGAGTTTCAGCGGTACAGTTATGAACGAGGATACTTTTACTCGGATGATGTGGATTTGATGAAACCATTTCCATTTGCGTCATCCAGTGTGAATGAAGTACCGGAGTTTTACTGTGATTGGTCTAAACAATTACGGCAACCATTTCGTCTTCATGATGTTAGTCACGGTTGCTCTATTCTCATTCGTGGCTATGCAGAAGGAAAGAATGTTCACCTACAAGGTGGATCTATTCTTCATTTATTACTAATTGGTCGACAAAATAATCTTAATCCTGGTCCTAGATACCTTGGTAGAGGACTGAATGGAAATAATGCAGTGGGTAATGATCATATTTACGAGTACATTATGTGGAAACAGAATGATGATAAATCTTTTTCATTCGCAAAACATACAATTCTACGAGGTACCATTCCTGTACATTGGCAAACTCGAATAAATGCAACCATTTCAGAACCTTCAATGATATTTAGTCCAAACAAGGATGATGTTCTTCGAGGAAGTGATAGGTATTTTGAATCTGTATTAAGACAATTGGCAACTTTAATAAAATATGATTCTGGAGATTCATCTATTAAAACAGGTCCATTTTTACGATGTATTAATTTACTTCGACAAAATCCTCAAAGTAATGAAGGTGTTCTGGCAAGATATTTTGTAGAAGCCGTTAGGAAATCCGATACCGCCATTCGATCTATTTTTCCAAATGGTCATCTTGATCTTGTTCATGTGGATTGGCTTAATTTAGTAAAAGACTATGGTATTGATGTGGCGACAAAAACTCTTTGGGAGTGTTCCTTAACTTTTTTGGCTCCTGAGAACTGTGATGCACTCCTCACTATTGGTTGTATACATCCTGATGGAAGTGTAACCCGATCGGCTTATCAAAATCGCTTTGTGCGTGTAAATTGTGCAGATTCTTTAGATCGAACGAATCTTGGGTGTTTTTTTACTTCGTTTCAAGTGTCTATAGTTATGCTACAATCACTTGGAATTAGTTTAGGAAGTTTTTTGGACCAAAAACAATTGCCATCTTTAGATGGTCAAGAGGATTTTTATAATGATGGGTTCTCTTCATTTTCATTGCCTTTGGCAGGAACCAAAACTGTACTTCCCAAACCTTTTGTAAATTCATGGTTTGAGGCAAGAAACCCATCTATTTATCCTGTTGCTGTTGGTAGAGTACTTTCTGAACTGTATGTTTATAATGGGGATGTAGTTGCACAGTTGTATACAAACTCTGCGGCCATGCATGGAAACATTTTGCGAGGTATATGTGGATTAAAAGCAACTGCTTCTAATATGGTTATAGCAACACAACGGATGTTTGAAAATGTTTTTGAGGATGCAAAAAAGTTTAGAATTGTTGAACTTTTGCTTGGTCGAAATAAAGATATTCACTTTCCTTCCATGAGTAAAGTATTTCTTACACGTCCTGTACCGATAGAAAAATGGAAGTGCGCACTTATTGCATTGGGAGTTCCTCCGACTGTGACATTACCGGAATTGGAAGACTCTGTTCGACGAGCATGGGATGAATTAGTTTTGCCTAAACTTCCCTCTGCGGGATTTCCCTCCATTCCAAGTAGTGCATTATGTTTTACGGTCTCAGCTGAAGAAGATGAAGTTGAATCCTATAATGAATTTGTTACTGCAGTAAGTCAAATAGCATTTGAGAAGCCACCACCAACGGAAGAAGATATTAGTTTACCACAGCAACACGAACAAATAGCCATTATTCAATTTGATTCCGATTTGTGTGCTGCAATGGATGTTCCCAAACTTCTTTTGGCAAATGCCATGTTAAGGATTAAGGACTCTAACGTTATTCTTGCTCAATATGGATACCCCATCCAGGGAATTGAGGGTGATTCCTCAGGCATCGTCCAAAAGGCAGCAAGCTCCTTGAAGACTGGACTAAAAAAATTTGTAAGAGGATTGAATAATTAAAAAAAGTCTTCTATTGGCTATGTATGCGTTTTCTAATATGCTCACATACGTGGTTTCCCAAAAATGTTTGCTGAAATTTGTATGAGAAGTTTTTTTTTGAAGTCCATTTATTATTATTATTACTAGGTTATGTGCTATATTTTACGTATATTATCAATGGGTGGAAGAGTTATTGTTAATATTGTTATTATTATTACTATTATTGTTATTATTCTTATTATTATTATTATGCTAACAGTATAAACGTTCTTTTGCATTTCAAGAAACTGTTTTCTACCTTTTTTTTCTTCAGCCAGTTAAGGTATAAATAGATATTCTCAAAATATTAGAAAAAAAAGAAGAAACTGTATATTTCTCTTTCTTTATGCATATTTTGATTATGCTTCTTTTATATACACCTATAATCTTGGCATGGTTTTTATACCACGCGGATTTTTCATCGAAAGGCTAATGGGAAAGACGTCGCTCTCAGTGTAGATCCACGTGTATTTGCGAGTCAACAAAAGACCTTCACCCTGTTACTATTATTTGAAGGCCGTTTCCATGAAATAAGACACGAAGAAGCAGTAAGAGGGAATGAAAATGGGGTAGTGAAGGCAGTGCGTTTTTTTTTTTTTTTTTCGCTGTTTGCGTAGTTTATTTTTTATTTTTTTTGCTTGCGGCATAATTGTTCTTCCTCTTCACATCTAGAGGTTTGAATCCAGGACCCACACAGAAGAGCCAATTCTAAAGTTATGACCTCCGGAGAGTTTTTATATTTCCTGTAGGCTCTTCTATCCTATTTCGTTAGGTCAAAAGCCTAAAAGAAAGCCGAAGCAATAGGGATTGAATAGAATCAATGGACGTTTTCTCTTTAGCTGTATTGTGGTCTTATACCAGTGCATAACTGGAGGGCAGTGAGTAGTAAAGATAGATAGATAGATACATTGCCAAACTGTGGTTCAGGTATTTTCACTCCTTCAAAGCTGAAGGTTTTTACGAAACTCATAGAGGGTGGGGTAAGTAAGAATATGCCCCAGGATTTCCTTGCATATACTGTGGTTGAACCACGGAGATGATGCCGTTGTTGTTGAACTCTTATCGTGAAATTTCCCAATGAGAGTATTTTAGGATTGCTTTCGAAATAAAAGGAGGGCGATAGTGATGATATTGGAGCTCTTTACGTTTTTTTTTTTTTTGGAATTTCGAGATAACTCTGCTGAACTGGAACGTTTTTTCTATGTTTGTCTGATGTTGTGTTTGCGTTGGACATTATTGGAACAATCCTACTCGGGATTTGTACCTCATGTCGTATTCTTCACATTTGAAATTATAAATGGTCTCATTCCGGAGCAGCTGGTGGTGTTTTTGCAGCCTTCATGCTTATAATGTATATCTGCTCGAAGGACGTCGGTCCCGGCGTAAGTGTTGGGCGCGCTGTAGTCATTGAGTGCCTTCTTTACGGTTTTCTACTCTTAGGCGTTTATTCTTCTTGTATGAGGGAGCGGGCGACTGTGCTGCTCACGGATAGCATTTGCGCAGCTGTTGTTGCAGCCACAATGCCGCAGGGGATTTCCACACAAACGGAGCAGCCCACTCTTCCTTTCCTGATGTTGTGTTGTTGGAACTGTTTGTTGCTGGGTACATGATAGAGGGAGCAGCGGGATAAGTTTATCTGGGTGTAGTGCCTTGGTGTGTGTGTGTGTGTGTGATGGTTGGAAAGAGAATCTATTTTTTTTTGTGTGTGTTCTTTTGAACTCCTCCGTGCAGAGCAGCCAAACTCAATCCTCACGGGGTCTTTTCGTTTTGGAAGCTCTAAAACTTTTTCTTCTTTTGTGGTTCTGTTTTCAACCTGTTTCTCAGATGGATGCTGGGTTTTTACTACTATTATTTTATTATGTGTACAAGTTAAAAGTGACTGCTTTTATTTTCTGCTATGCGCTTTAGTCTCTGTAGCGTTGTGGTTTTCTTGTTGGATTAAGAAAAAAATTGCTTCTCTCACATACGATACTTGAGTTGTAGGAACTTCACCTTTTATGCGGCTCAGAGAAAGCATGCGGAGAAAAACTTGTATGAACCATGTACAATGTGTAAATGTACAGAAGCCCATAAAAGAACTAAAGGCATGTTTGCAAATCTTTGTTGTGGATAATATACTATTTTTTTTTAGTGAAATTTACTGTATTTAAGCATTCTGTTTACGTTGTTTCTTCAGTGACGTGTTTAGACTTGATCACAGTGAATGTATTTCTGTTTCTCTTCTTTTTCATTACACAATTCTTTTTGGTTTCTTTTTTTTCCTTAACCATTTCCACATAATCTGATTGACTAGATTAAGCTACAAACTCTACTTTGTAGTTGAAGGCTTTGAAAGGAATCACCAACCGCAACACATACAAACACAAGTACTTCTTGGCATTCACTACAAGTAATCAGTAACTTCTTTTTTCTGACGAGAAGACAGTAAGGAAGGAAGGAAAGAAGGACTGAGGAACAGAGAGAGAGGAAAGAAGGGCAACCATGAAATACAACATGCCCCACTCTTTGTTTGTTGTATTGCTCATCTTGCTGCTGGGCTGCATCAGTGGGTATGCACAAGAAGAGGGTCCGCAAGAAGAAACGGTCCCCATCGTTGATTCTATTCCTAGTGAACTTTTTAAGTCAATTAATATGAGTCAACCAACGAGGAGCGGCAATAACGTGCAATTAGAGGCAGTCCATCAATTTCATGCCCCACATCTTTTTTTCTTTAATGGTTATCTTGTGTCAATTACGGCTGCTGCAGTATACCAGGATCGGGATACTAAACAGAATGAATTCATTAAACTTCTGAAAAAAAACAAAACCGTGGAAAGTGAAACTGTACTTAAATGGAATGAAAGTAATGGATATGTGTTTCATTATACCCAAGCAGAAAAATCCGTGAAAGATGTTTTTGATAACGATAAGAAAGACTACCAAGCTGTGCTTGCTCTTGTGGAAAGCAGCAACCCTCCAAGTCAAGAAGGTTCTGTTCTTCGCATTGTGTGGATGAAAAGAGGCAAGTCTGAACCTTCAGTTTATTCGGTGGTGTACGACCGTCATGTTGGTAGTTCTGTCTTGCCGCGTGGAGATTCAACGGTTCTTCGTTTCCTTGTTGACACAAGCACATCAATTTTGACGATGAAAAACAACGCTTCTGTGTTTCCCGTACAATTTGTTACGAATGATAACAAAACCATTTCTACAGTAATGTATCGCAGACCCGATGAACAACAGTGGAAAATTGGGGGAGCTTTGCCTCATATGGACACTTATAATCCTGCTATTCTCGAGTTGGAAGATGGTAAGTTAGTGATGATTGCTCATCATACCAGCGGCTATTACAGAGTGTACGAGTCCACCGATTTGGGAAAGACATGGACAGAGTCTACCAGTACACTCTCTCGTGTGTGGTCCACCTCCACTGTAGCTACTAACATACCAATTACTGAGCGTGGAAGTCAAAACAATTTTATTACTGCAACGATTGGTGAGAAGCGTGTCATTCTTTTTCTGCAGTCTGTGGAAACTGAAGAAGAGAACGAACTCCATCTGTGGGTGACTGATAAGACACATATTAATCGTGTTGGCATGATTGTTAAGGATAAAAAAGTAAAGAGTAGCACTTTATTGTTCAAGGATGACAAATTGTACTGTCTGTATGAGTCGAGTAAAGAGGAAGGGAAGTACACAGTTCTTTTCGTGGACCTGACGAACAAGGTGAACAAGATAAAAGAGGTGTTAAATACGTGGGATACTATTGCATCCAAGGGTATCTGCTGCACTGATGAAGCATGTACATCTTTTGATTGTCGTATTTCCACCACTAAGCTTGTGGGCTATTTGTCAGGAACCATCGATGAGGAGAGTAACTGGAAGGATGAATACCTCGGCGTGGATGCTTCTGTAAGTGGTACGGTAAAGAAGAATCCTAATGGATTTACGTTCATGGGTATTGGTGCGGGAGCAATGTGGCCTGTGAGTATAAATGAAATGGCGAGGCAGTATCACTTTACAAACTACGCATTTACTCTTGTGGCGACGGTGGCTATCCACGCGGCACCAAAGAAGGGCAGCAGTCCTTTGTTGGGTGTAAGTCTGTTAGGCGCTGGACACAGTATTCTTTTGGGGTTGTCGTACAATAAAAACAAAACGTGGAACACAATACACAGGAATGTCGTCCAGGCTTCAGATATTAGATGGGAAGTGGACAGAACATATACTGTGGTATTGACATTTGCGAATAGCGACTGTTCGGTGCAAATTGACGGAGATCCCATGGGTTTTGTGGAACATAACTTCAACAGAGAAACAGAGGAGATTTCCCACTTTTACTTTGGTTCCGACGGAGAGGCTGGAGACAGTACCTTCGCAACAGTGACAAATATTATGCTGTACAACAGCGTGCTCACACAAACCGAGATTGATGCACTGATAAAGAAGAAGTTGGTTATTTCCTTGTCAGAGAGTGTCAAGCAGATGCTATCAGAAGAAATAAAGATGCAATCTACTCTCCCGACCCCTGCTACCAGCAGTACGGCAGGACCTCATTCAATGAAGAAACCACAGAATACGAACAGTGGAAATCAAGGGAACGCAACGAACCGTAAACAAGGATCTGATGGTACTGTTTCTATCTATGCATCTGTACTGCCAATGCTTGTTCTGGGATTGTGGGCTCTTGCAACAGTTTTCCCATAAATGTGTGTGCAACCACGTGAATATAATTTCTAATTGGGCTTCTTTTCATCAATAATAATAATTGCTGTCCATAGTGTGGACCCTTTTCTTTTTAATTGTTTTTTTTCTTACTGTTTTTCCTAGTGCTCTGCACCATGGAATTCTTTTTTCTTTCTTTTTTGGAAAATTAACTGTTTGCTACAATCTCTGGAGTCCAGGGATTAACTCCCAATGTCCCCTTATTTTCCCACACACGATGATTGGTTTCTCAACCTCACCTTTTGCAGAGTGTGAATGTAACAAAGGAGTAATCGAGCACATTGAGGACCGCACTAGGTGAGAATGATGTATGCACAGGAGTTAATGGGATGATATTAAAAATACACTTTTTTGTTCTTGCGTGTTGAAAAAAAAGATTTTTTTTTTTTTTTTTTTTTTTGCAAGCAATCTATTGTGTGTGTGTGTGTGTTTTTTAATTGTGTTTCTATTGTGTGTGGGGTTACTGTAGGGATTGGTCTAATGATTTTTTTATTGGGGTAATATCATCAGTATGGATGTTTTTTCTTTTCCCTAGGGAGAATGGTGCCCATGGATGTATCGTTGTTATGATGTCCTAATAATCTGTTTTCGTTACTTGGTGCCTTTGTTGGCATGTGTTTTTTCTTCCTTTTTTTATTCTTTCCACCATTATGTACGCTGATTCAAAATAGATGAATAGACACTGTACATGAACATTTATATGGTTTAAGGAGTTTGTTTTGATTGCTGTGTTCTCTGCAGGAGCTGACTCATTCCGGAGAGGTCTACAGTGTGTTGTGTGTACCACGGTATACATTTGGTGAACACTGAGGACTGGTTGGGGAATGGGACAGTGGAGTACAGAGTCCCAAATGCTTCTCTACTTGAACTGCCCCGATTGTACCCTATCATGGTGTGCCATCATTCCCTGTATTTACTCTTGACGGTGTTGTTTGACTGTATATACTGCTTCGTTTGTGTGTGTTGTTTCCTTTCCATTGGGAATGGAATAAGTAATGGAGAGTGAGAACCAATGGTGTTGTTTAGGGATACATCTCTGCTGTTGTAATATTCCTCTTCTTCACATGGGTATTCTCCTAACGGCTGCCTGCCGTATTCTGATTGTACTTGCATGTGCGTATTTGTGTGTGTGTGTGTGGACTCAACCTATGGATGGGCTGATGTGTGCATTGCCTCATTGTTTTGATTTACGACGTAAGCCACACCAGAGCGTTTATTATTTCTTGGTAAATGAATGGTTTTCTGAACAAATTACGGTAGTAAAAATTAATTGGATAACCGTTAACTGTAGCTGTAGAGAATAAATGACAATGCTCTGAAAAAAAACGGATACATTGTTGGTGTCCTGTTGAGCAGATGGATGCTGAGTTTTTACTACTATTATTTTATTATGTGTACAAGTTAAAAGTGACTGCTTTTATTTTCTTCTATGCGCTTTAGTCTCTCTAGCGTTGTGGTTTTCTTGTTGGATTTTTTTAAAAAAACTGCTTCTCTCACATACGATACTTGAGTTGTGGGAACTTCACCTTTTATGCGGCTCAGAGAAAATTGGCGGAGAGAAACTCGTATGTACCATATACGATGTGTAAATGTACAGAAGCCAATAAAAAAAAAAACTATGAGCATGTTTGTAAATCTTTTTTTCTGAATAATATACTATTTTTTACCTATTTTTAGTGAGATTTACTGTATTTAAGCATTGTGTTTACGTTGTTTCTTCAGTGACGTGTTTAGACTTGATCACGGTGAATGTATTTCTGTTTCTCTTCTTTTTTATTACACAATTCTTTTTGGTTTCTTTTTTTTTTCCCTTTAACTATTTCCATATATTCTGATTAACTAAAATAAGCTGTAAGCGCTACTTTGTATTTGAAGGCTTTGAAAGGAATCACCAACCGCAACACATACAAACACAAGTACTTCTTGGCATTCACTACAGGTATTCCGCAACCTCTTCGTTCTGACGAGAAGACAACAAGTACGAAAGGAAGGACTGAGGAACAGAGAGAGAGGAAAGAAAGAAGGGCAACCATGAAATACAACATGACCCACTCTCTGTTTGTACTACTGCTCATCTTGCTGCTGGGCTGCATCAGTGGATATGCAGAAGAAGAGGAACCCATACGCCGTAATTTTCATGGCTTTCATTTTTTGGAGTTTGGGAATGGAGATCTGGTGGCAATTGACGGTGCTAATTTGTATCGGTGGAATAAACATAAAGTTGAATACATGGAATTATTGACACCAGCGAGCGGGGAGGGTCAAGGTGCGTGGTGGAACCCCCATAGAAATTGGTTCCGCTTTTATCCATCTGGATACAATGGTTTTCCCATAAACTATGGCTCTGGTACACCATTTCGTGCAGTGTTTGCTCTTGTGGAAAACAACAACCCTCCAAGTAAAGAAGGTGCTCACCCTGTTCGAAGTAAAAACCCCCCAACTCCAGAATATTCTTTTATTCACATTGTGTGGATGAACACTCTTAATGGTGGAATCGGAGAGAATTCGTTCACTTACGCTCCGTTGATTCTTAAATTTCCTTTTGAATATGGGACAGCAAGGGTTGTACGATTTCCTGTTGACACTATCTCACCAATTTTAACAACAAAGAACAATACACTTGTGTTTCCTGTGCAATTTGTTACGGAGGATAACAAAACCATTTCGTCAGTAATGTATTATAGGCCCCATGATACGAAGTGGAAAATTGGTGGGGCTTTGCCTGATATGGACACCTCTAATCCTGCTGTTATCGAGTGGGAAAATGATAAGTTAATGATGATTGCTCAGCATCCCAGCGGCCATTACAGAGTGTATGAGTCCACCGATTTGGAAAAGACATGGGCAGAGTCTACCAGTACACTCTCTCGTGTGTGGTCCACCTCCACTGTAACTACTGACATACCAACTACTGATCGTGGAAGTCATAACAACTCTATTACGGCAACTATTGATGGAAAGCGTGTCATTCTTTTTACACAGTCTCTGGTATCTGGGCCACAGAACGTGTTCTATCTGTGGCTCACTGATAACACACACATTTATTATGTTGACTTCATAGCTACACGTCCAAGAGCGGCAACAAGCTCTTTATTGTTCAAAAATGGCGAACTGTACTTTCGGTATGAGACTGTTGAAGAGTCAGGTAAGCACAAAGTCTTTTTTGTGGATCTGACGACAGCTATGGAGAGCATCAAAAGTGTGGTGAAAAAATGGACTGAACAAGACCAGATTCTCACTGAGAGTCGTTGCTGCACTGATGAATCTTGTGCTTCTGTCTGTCGTATTCCCACTATTGGACTTGTGGGCTATTTGTCTGGAAACATCGATGGTAATAAATGGAAGGATGAATACCTCGGTGTGGATGCTTCTGTAAGTGGTATAACAGAGAAGGTTACTAATGGCTTGAAGTTCATGGGTCCTGGTTCAGGAGCAATATGGCCTGTAAGTACAAATGTACTGGCGAGGCAGTATCACTTTACAAACTATGCTTTTACTCTTGTGGCGACGGTGACTATCCACAAGGTACCAAAGAATGACAGCAGTCCTTTGTTGGGTGTAAGAATGTGGGACAAAAACAAGCACAGTATTCTTCTGGGAGTGTCGTACAACAACGATAAAACGTGGAGCGCCATAAACAGGGGAACCAAAAGTAAGTCAACAGGTACATGGGAAGTGGATAATGAATCTTCTCTGGTATTGACATTCAAGAACGGTACAGGCTCTGTGTATATCAACAGTACTCGGCTACATGTGGGAACTAACTTAAACATCGAGGAAGTTGTGAAAATTTCCCATTTTTACTTTGGTTGGGACGGTGAGTCTGTCGAAGGCTCTCATATATCAGTGAAAGACGTTATGCTGTACAACCGCGTGCTGAGTAATGAAGAGATTGATGTGCTGCTCAGAAGCAGGATGAATATTTCGTTTTCACCTAGTGATGCAGAACAGATACAGGAAGAAACGAACGATAAATCCTCGCAAGAGCAAAACACACCACAATCCAGTACAACTTCGACCCCAGCGAAAACTCCTGTTGCTACCGTTCAACCTGAGTCTCAACCAGAAAGTCAAGAGAATCAACAGCCTGCTCCGGTAGTGGACATACCACCAGAAAAAACACAGCAAGAAGTAAATACTACCGAAAATAAAACGTCCACAGAAACTACCGTGCCGGTTTCCAGTACGAACACGAAGCAGCAAGACCTTTTGCAGAATACAACTCAATCAATGATCAACAATAATGTTAATGCCCACAAAAATAAAAGTATTGATGGTACTGTTCGTATCTATGAATCTGTATTGCCAATGCTTGTTTTGGGATTGTGGGCTCTTGCAACAGTTTTCCCATAAATGTGTGTGCAACCACGTGAATATAATTTCTAATTGGGCTTCTTTTTATCAATAATAATAATTGCTGTCCATAGTGTGGACCCTTTTCTTTTTAATTGTTTTTTTTTTTCTTGCTGTTTTTCCCTAGTGCTCTGCACCATGGAATTCTTTTCTTTTCTTTTCTTTTTTTTTTTGGAAATTAACTGTTTGCTACAATCTCTGGAGTCCAGGGATTAACTCCTAACGCTACTTTGTTTGCCCACACACGATGCTTGATTTCTCGATCTCACCTTTTGCAGAGTGTGAATGTAACAGAGGAGTAAGCGAGCACATTGAGGGCCACACTGGGTGAGAATGATGTATGCACAGGAGTTAATGGGATGATATTAAAAATACATTTTTTTCTTGTGTGGTGAAAAAAGATTTTTTTTTTGCAAGCAATCTATTGTGTGTGTGTTTTTTTTTTAATTGTGTTCCTTTTTTGTGTGTGTGGGGTTTTCACTCTGGGATTGTTTTTTTTTTAATTACTATTCAGTTTCTATGTATCTGTGTGTGTGTGTGTGTGTGTGTGTGTGTGTGTGTGTGTTTTGTGGGGGTTCACTATGGGATTTGGTCTAATCATTTTCTTTATTGGGGTAATATCATCAGTTTGGATGTTTTTTCTTTTCCCTAGGGAGAATGGTGCCCATGGATGTATCGTTGTTATGATGTCCTAATAATCTGTTTTCGTTACTTGGTGCCTTTGTTGGCATGTGTTTTTTTCTTCTTTTTTTTTGTTTTTCTTACCATTATGTACGCTAATTCAAAAGAGATGAATAGACACTGTACATGAACATTTATATGGTTTAAGGAGTTTGTTTTGTTTGCTGTGCTCTCTGCAGGAGCTGACTCATTCTGGAGAGGTCTACAGTGTGTTGTGTGTACCACGGTATACATTTGGTGAACACTGAGCACTGGTTGGGGAATGGGAGAGTGGAGTAGAGAGTCCCATATGCTTCTCTACTTGAACTGCCCCGATTATCTTTCATCATGGTTTGCCAGCATTCCCTCTGTTACTTCTTGACTGTGTTATTTGACTGGACATTTTGCCGTTTGTGTGTGTGTATGTGGTTTCCTTTCCATTGGGAATGGAATAAGTGGTGGAGAGTGAGAACCAATGGTGTTGTTTAGGGATACATCTCTGCTGTTGTAATATTCCTCTTCTTCACATGGGTATTCCCCTAACGGCCGCTTGCCGTATTCTGATTGTATATGCATGTGCGTATTTGTGTGTGTGTGTGGACTCAACCTATGGATGGGCTGATGTGTGTATTGCCTCATTGTTTTGATTAACGACGTAAGCCACACCAGAGCGTTTATTATTTCTTGGTGAATTAATGGTTTTCTGAGCAAATTGTGGTAGTGAAAATTAATTGGATAACCGTTAACTGTAGCTGTAGAGAATAAATGACAATGCTCTGAAAAAAATTTTGGACACGGTGTTGGTGTCTTGTTGAGCAGATGGATGCTGGGTTTTTACTACTACTATTACTTTATTATTTGTGTACTTGTTCCAGTTAAAGGTGATGATTGCTTTTGTTTCCTTGCTATTACTGGTTCCCTCTATCTGTATTTACAGTGTAGTTCACTTGTTGTGTGCTTTCTTTTCCCTCTTTTCCTTTCTCCACAGAATAGCCTCAAGCAATCCACCACTAACAAGTAATCAAACAAACCAAACAGCACGATGAAGCGGATGAACACGGAAGGAGTAGAATCGATAGAGCTGCAGTCCTGTGAAGTGCAAGAAGAGTGCTGCGTGCGTAACGACACACACAACGTGATGTCCTCCGAGCATTATGGGAATCTGGAACACTGCATCGATGGGAGAAGGAGAAGAATACAACATCATCACTGTTCCATCAAAGGCTGTCGTTGCAACAGGTGCTGCGTGTCCTTGTGGTGTTGTGGCTACTACTGCCCATACTAAACTCATTTCTCTGCTATGCTGCAGCTGCTGGTACAAATGGTATTTTGACAACCATTACCGGTTGCTTTCCTAATATGGTGGTCTCCCCCAGTCAAACAACACAACACTGCGAGGTGGACAATGCCAATGTTCTAAGTACCTTGACTCTTACGGTTGGGTATTACAACAATGGTGGACTCAATTCTGTATGGCCAGCTTCTCTTGTGGAGGGAACAAATCTCATTAGATTTGTGCCTGATCGTGGAGCTATTTCAGGGGATATGAGTCTTGTCATTGTGAACACTCCTCAAGTGGGAAGGTTCTATTCCAGTATCGAACAACTTCACCATGAGTTTTGTAGACTCTTCCACGACATTTGCATCATTTAATTCTAACAGTGCCTATTATGGGTTGAAGAGAATGGTGCGGACAAACTTCCCAAATATCAATCCCATTCAGAACTACCTGCTGGTTCCTCCTCAGTCAGACTGTGATGCCATCGCAAAAAAATGTAGTGGTGCTACTGGATGCTACAATTTGGCGATTACTGCATCCCTTCCTATTCCTGGGAACTATTCACTCTGCTTAACCGCGAGTGGATGGCAAGGCTACTACCTGCCGTGGGGTACAATTCCCCTCGAAGTGAGAGTGCTGGTGCCAAACGAGCTGTATATGAACACTCTCGGGAAAAACACACTTTTGCTCCAGGATGCAGTGACAGGTGCGAATGTGGCTGACATGAACAGTGTGTTCCTGGTGAAGTGCCCATACGGTGGGTGTCCACGAGAGACACTAAACAGTGGTGATCAGGCAGTGAGTGTTGATGTGTGTATTGGGACCGCTGTCACGGATCGTGTGTACTTCTCTGCTGATGGTACTCTCAATTCTACAACAACAGGTGACTACGCTGTCTGCGCGGATTACGGTGCAGAGGTTGGTATTTCTCCTGCTGCACTTCCAGTAAGAGTATTGCACGATCCCTTTGTTTTCAATGTCACTGTGATTACAAACACGTTGGTGACAATTGATGTGCGTGGGGGTGATCTCTTGTCGAGGCAGGAACCATATCAAGTGTGTGCGGTGCTGCCGAATACACCGTGTGAGTCTGTGGCTACTGCTCGAGATTCTGTGTGTGTGAGGAGTAGCACCCCAAATTCCCCATCTGTTGATGTTGACATCTTCAGTCTGTACAGTCTGTATAAACTGGGTGCTGACAATGTGACCTTTTGCTTTGTTGCATCTGATGTGACATTTAACGGCCGCCGTTATGTTTGGTCGCATGATGTGAGGGAACCTTTTTTGCCGGAGGGTGACTCAGCAGTGGCGTCAAGTTCGAATAAATTATCTGTTGGTGCCATTGTTGGTATTGTTATCGCAGGTGTGGTTGTTCTTGTTATTGTGGCTGTCATTCTGTATTGTGTACTGCGTCAGCGACCACAACAAGAACAACAGCAACCACGGGAAAAAGTGCCGACGGATGCTGTGCACTCTCAGTCCACAAGTAAAACAACCACAGTGGAGATTACTGCGAACTCTTTCACAAATTCTTTTTTTTCTTGTAATGTTGTTGCTACTGAGTAGACACCTATCAATAATGCTGATGACTACTTTATCTCTCTGGTTTCTCCTCTTATTTTACCCTTGGTATTCATCTTGTACCAGTGGTAGCATTGGTAGTGGTTTCTAATAGCATTCTAATTAATGTACACATGAATACTTTTTTCTCCTTAACATGTTCGCTTTTTTTCTTTTCTTTCTTATCTCTGCTCTTTTGCGGTCACAAGAACAAAGCAACACACACACGCAGACAGGCAGACAGACACACAAGTTCACACACTCACGTTCATTCACACCATTGTATAATGGAGAAGTACTTTATGCGTCACTTATTGTACCCTGTACTGCTTCTATTCTTGTTATTGTGCTGTGCCGGCACGTCCTTTGCTGCTGTTGTGCAGCACTTACCACAAAGAGGAGAGAGTGCTTTGCATGCGTACACCGTCACCGAAGATGACAAGAATGGGAAACACTGGAAGCCCATTCACATCGAAGTATCCGCAGAAGGCGTGAATAATGTGTTGAGGGACTGTGACAGAAAGCGAGCCTTGGCCGAACAGTTAAAGGGGACGGGTACTCGGAGATATGACGACAGTGTGTTCTGTGATAATAAGACTGGGATAACTGATGAAAAGAAGGAACTCTTACTGAATAAACTCTTACTCGCCGCGATCAAGTTGCATACAGATCGTCTCAACATTGAACAGAAAGAGGGTGAAGTTGTGGTCTCTACAAGCACCATAAACTCATTTTCGGGAGAATGCGGGGTCATAAAGGCATGGGAACACAAAAAAAGTTTCTCCAAGGCTGATTTTGTACTTTTTGTTGGTCCTGATGAATCTGAAATGTCAACAATAGTATGTTCTCAGGATTTAGAAGAACGACCAACTTCTGCACTGATCAAATTTGTACCGAAAGACATTGTGGACACGAGACACTTTATCCGCACGGCAGCGCATGAGATTGCACATGGACTTGGGTTTGAGGTGACCCGTATGAGGAAACTTAAATTGATTAAATACGGAGCACTGAGAGGAAAAGGGAAGGTCACGGCCGTGGATTCTGAAATAATGCAGGAGATGATGAGAGAACATTACGACTGTCACTTGGATATCACCGGTATGTACATGGAGGATGAGGGTGATGGTCGCAGAAAGTTGCACTGGGAGCGAAGGATTGCGAAGGATGAATTGATGAGTCCATACACGGAAGAACCCTCTGGCATGTACTACACTAATCTGACACTTGCAGCATTCCATTCCATGCCCTTCTACAAGGCACACTTCAACATGGCAGAACCGATGAGCTGGGGAAAGAAATCTGGTTGTGATTTACTTCATAATACATGTACAGGGGGTAATGATGAACTAATGAATCACACCAGCATGTTCTGCAAGGAGAACGAGCCTGTTTTGCAGTGCACATCTGACCGTTTCGCTCTTGGAATGTGTTCCTCCATTTCTGTACTTGATACCCTGCCTGAGGTGTACAGCTACTTTACAAAGACTGCTGGACAGAATGAGATGACGAATGGCTGCCCCATCATCAAACCATTAAAGAAAACTACGTGTGAAAATGGTGATGTTGCACTGATGCCTGGAAGCATTGTGAGCAAAATGTCACGGTGTCTGAATGTGAAAGAGCCGGAGTTCAGCGAGGGAGTTCAGAAAAATGGAGTGACCGTAAAGGGTATTTGTGCAAAGGTAAAGTGTGAGAATGGCAAGGTGAGTGTGCAATACAAGGAAGATACTACTGAGTGGATTGAGTGCAGCGGTGAAAACGCCACTATTGAAATGAAGGATTCTAAATTCAAAGGTGTGAATATTGTTTGCCCCAAATACGAAGAAGTGTGCACAGGGTTGAATGAAACCGATCTTCCCACCATTGAGTATGACGAAAAAAATAACGACAATTCTAACGCAAGTGAAATTCCATCACCAAACGTGGATTCAGCAGAGAAAAATGATCCATCAGAAACCGAGAAAGCACCACAAACCGAGGGTTCGAATCCTCAAGAAAAACCATCGCAAGACGAGGTTACACAGAATGCTGAAATTCCATCGAAAGAGGGAGGTTCGTCAAAGCCAGAATCCCCTGATAACAACGACACAACTAATATTGAAAATGGACAAGATGACCACAACACGGGGAAGGACTCCACTGACAGTAAAGTGGAAAATACCAACAGTCCTACAGGTGTCATTTCTGGGAAGGACACTGACAACAGCATCATCG